AGCGGGTCGGGGCTGCAGTGGCCAGGAACGGCCCCTGCACTCCAGTCTGGGCGACAGAGTGAGACTCCAACTCAAAAAAAAAAAAAAGAATCAAAAAATTAGCTGAGTTTGTGGTGGGCACTTGTAGTCCCTGCTACTTGAGAGGCTGAGATGGAAGGATCACATGAGCTCATGAGGTAGAAGCTGTGGTGAGCCGTGATGGCGCCACTGCACTCTAGCCTAGATGACAGATTGAGAGACACACACACACAGAATAAGAGGTTGTGTTCCCTATTCATTCAACTAGTCATTAATTAATTAATTCTATTTGGCTGGGCTTGGTGGCTCAGCCTGTAATCCCAGCACTTTGGGAGGTGAGGTAAGTGAATTGCCTGAGCCTGCGGGTTTGAAACCAGCCCGACAGCTTGGCGAGACTTCGTCTCTACAATAAATCAAAAATTAGCTGGACGTGGTAGTGCGTGTCTGTGGTTTTGGCTACTTGGAAGGCTGAGGCGGAAGGATCGCCAGAGCCCAGCAGGTTGATGCTGGGTTAGCCGGAGTGTGCCACTGCACCCCAGGCTGGACGACGGAATAAGACTCCAACTAAAAAAAAAAAAATGGCTGGGTGTGGTGGCACGTGCCTATTGTTCTAGTTACTTGGAAGGCTGAGGTGAAAGGATTGCCTGAGCCCAGTAGGTCAAGGCTACAGTGGGTATGAGTTTGTCTGTGCACTTCAGCCTAGGCGACAGAGTGAGACTCCGACTCCCCCCCCCCAAAAAAAAAAAATCAGAAATAGCTTTACCTCTACATCAATTGATTTTTCTTTCTTTCTTTCTTTCTTTCTTTTTGGTGTGATCTCACTTATATGTGGAAGATTCTCTTTGTCTATTTATTTATTTATTTATTTGAGTTGGAATCTCATCTGTCATCCAGGCTAGAATGTAGTGGCATGCTCACGGCTACCGCAGCCTCAACCTGCTGGGCTCCTGTAATCCTTCCGCCTCAGTCTTTCAAGTAGCTGGAACTACAGGCACGTGCTACCATGCCCGGCTAATTTTTGATTTATTGTAGAGATGAGGTCTCGCCAAGTTGCCCAGGCGGGTCTCGAACAGGCAATCCACTCACCTCAGCCTCCCAAAGCGCTGGGATTACAGGCTGAGCCACCGAGCCCGGCTGCTTTTTTTTTTTTTAATGAACATGTACCATATTTGAAAAATCAGGAACCACTAAATGCTGATTTTTAAATAATTCTGAATACCGTGCTGTTTCGTTGCAGGTTATGTTTCTGTTATAAATCTTACTGCTGTTTTGGGATAGCTCACACCCAAGAGGGCGATTTCTCGGAAACAGCAATAGAGTCTCCCGAGACAAGCTGGATATTATCTGTTCCTTAGGCTGTGTCTCTCCTGTTGTTTTTTTTTTTTTTGTAAACACAAAGATGAGGGATCCTGCTGTAATCAGATCAACCTTCCCATATAACAGGAAGGCACATGCTCATAATTCTATAATCTGTCAGACCCTAGACCATACTAGGAGCTTTCTTTCTGCACAAAACATACAAAATATCCTGACTGCTGGCATCTGCATTGGGTTCCATTGTTCCGAAAGAGTGGTTCAACCCAGATTTGGAGGAAAGAAATGTTGAGTGGTTAACTAACTGAAGGAAAGCAAAATGCATTTCTTCCTTCTGTGTTTTAATGGTTGTCAATTCCTGGAACATTCTGAGAATCCAAGAGAGAGTTGGGACAGGGTGGTAATGATTAAATAAGGTAATAACCATGACAACCAGTTCAATCCTAGCGTGGCAAAGATTAACGAGGAAACAATGACTGACTTTGGTCTGTAGATTTTGGACCATCACCTTTGTTTTGTGGTTATACTGTGCTGATCTTGTGGATTAGAGCTTGGCTGATGGGGGAGGAGAGTCCTTTATTGGATTGCAAGCCTTTTGCAGTCTCAGACTTCCTTCAGTTGATCTTCATTTCTTTTCCCGTGCCAATATCAACGTCAATTACCGATAGAAGAATAGACGCCATTGAGCCAGGCATAGGCAACACGATTTACTGATGTTGCATCAGTATCAATTTTTCCTCCTAGTTAGGGATAAGTATGCATTCGGGTAGTTGAACTGAATGTGCTTGTCTTCCACTCTAGATTGGATGCTTTTTGAAGGTAACTTCCATGACTCATGTTTGTACTCTCTGGGGTCTAGCTCAGTAATGGATACACACAGGTCATTAGGAAGTAGATGTTTCGATCAAATTCTCTTCATCCGAAGGCAAGTGAAGATTCTTTTTTTTTGACTTGGAGTCTCATTCTGTCACCCAGGCTGGAGGGCAGTGGCACGCTCCCGGCCACCGCAGCCTCGACCTGCTGGGCTCAGGTAGGTGATCCTTCCGCCTCAGTCTTTCAAGTAGCTGGAACTACAGGCACACGCCGTCATGCTTGGCTAATTTTTGATTTATTGTAGAGATGAGGTCCTGCCAAGTTGCCCAGGCTGTTCTCGAACCTACGGGCTCAGGAAGTCCTCTCACCTCGGTCTCCCAAAGTGCTGGGATTGTAAGCGTGAGCCACCGGTGCCTGGCCAAGTGAAGATTCTAATTCCTTGAAATCGACACTGTTGGTTGCTTTCCCAGAATCCTTTTCGCCTCCCTCTCTTCTCTCTTCCTGGCTGTCAGTGTTCTGGTTTTGTTTGAATACTCAGAGGTGAATCTTGTTCAGCCTAATCCAGTCTTGATAGTTCCATCTTTTTGCCAGAGATTGGTTTAAGAAGGTGTGATGCCTTTTCACCACTGAGATTGGAAGGAAGTCTAAGGAAATTTCCTTTTCTCTTAAAAATAAATAAATAAATGACAGATGGTTGGGCTCCGTGGCTCAGCCTGTAATCCCAGCACTTTGGGAGGCCGAGATGAGTGAATTGCCTAAGCCTGTGGGTTCGAGACCCACCCGGGCAACTTGGCGAGATCTTGTCTCTACAATAAATTTTAAAAAATTAGCCAGGCATGGTAGCGTGCACCTGTAGTTCTGGCTACTTGGAAGACTGAGGTGGAAGGATCGCTGGAGCCCAGCAGGTCGATTCTAGGGTGGCCATGAGTATGCCACTGCACTCCAGCCTGGGCGATGGAGTGAGACTCCAACTAAAAAAAATATAACCATGAAGGGAAGTCCCCTTTCTGCCTCTGGTTGTGGCCACGTGGGGTGACACTGTTCCACGTGGAGAAGGATGATGTGAGTTCATCAGAGGAGCCAGCCAGAGGGGACGGGCTAGGGAAGGTTCAAGAGCAAAAGGAAACACTGTGGGTTTTGATGACCTTGTTGGCCACTGAAGTAACCTGTACTGGATTTCCAACTTTTTTTTTTCCTCTTTGGAGTCGATGTTTCACTCTGTCACCCAGGCTGCAGTGTAGTGGCCCAATCACAGCTCATGGCAGCCTCGACCTCCTGGTCTCAAGGGATCCTCCTGCTTCAGCCTCCCGATAGCTGGGACTACAGGTGCTCACCACCATGCTTGGCTAATTTTTTGATTTTTGGTAGAGATGAGGTCTCGCTATGCTTCCCAGGCTGGTCTCAAACTCCTGGGCTCAGGCCATCCTCTCACCTTAGCCTTCCAAAGTGCTAGGATTACAGGTGTGACACCACCATGCCTGGCTGATTTCCAGACTTTTTGTTCTGTGCTATAATGGACACTTTTGTTTTCTCAGTTATTTCACTTGGCATTTCTGTTACCTATCGCTGAACATTCCCTGATGTGGGAACCCATTTGCCATTTTCCACTTCCCTTTTAGGTAAGTCTCAGAGGTGGAACTATTGAAAAAGGAATGATAAAACAGGGACTGAGGAAGCCATGAGGAATCAATATATAACTTACTGGGTATTATTACTTATTTATCATTCATAATTCATACCTCATGTATTTAAACCTTTTGAAGAAGTTCACATCACAGCCTTGCTTTTTTTAACATTCATTTTTATTTTATTATCTATCTATCATCTATTTATTTATATAGAGATGAGGTCTTGCTCTGCTGCCCAAGCTGGTCTCTAACTCTTGGGTTTAAGCAATCCTCCTCCCACCCAAGGCCTCCCAAAGTGCTGGAATTACAGGTGTGAGCCACCGTAATA